CTCCCGGCCACCGCAGCCTCAACCTGCTGGGCTCCGACGATCCTTCTGCCTCAGCCTTCCAAGTAGCCGGAATTACAGGAATGCACTACCAGGCCCGGCTGATTTTTTGGTTTTTATTGTAGAGATGAGGTCTCGCTGCCCAGGCGGGTCTCGAACCCGCGGGCTCAGGCAATCCACTCACCTCAGCCTCCCAAAGTGCTGAGATTACAGGCTGAGCCACTGAGCCCGGCTATTTAGTCTTTTCTACCCCTTTTGTATTTTAGCAGGATGTTTCTTCTTGTGGGAGCTCCCAAAGCAAACACTACCCAGCCTGGAATTGTGGAAGGAGGGCAAGTGCTCAAATGTGACTGGTCCACCACCCGCCGGTGTCAGCCAATTGAATTTGATGCAACAGGTAAATGTTGATGCAGTGGTCCTTTTTCTTCGTTTGTATCATTTGATTTTTTTTAAAAAGCAATTACTTTAGTTTAAATGTAGCAATTTAATAAATTAATGATATATGCACCTCAGATCTACAGGGAAAATTATATAAAGACAAATGATTTATTTTATAATGTTTTCCCTACAACTTTGTGGTATATGAAAACTTTGAAAATACATTGTGTTTCCATTGGTTCAGAGGTCTTCTGCTTTAAACTGATAGTATCAACCTGCAGAAATGTGGGGAATGTCTGTTGAGATGTTTTTGCACCTCTTCTGAGAAGAGGGAGCTCAAAGCCACAGGAAGGCTTTTTGTTGTTTCTCTGTCAACCAGATTGAAGCATGACTTACTGACTATTGTAGATCCATTCTAATCATGAATATATCCAAGCCTTGGATTGTGCTCTGAAAGCCAGTTGAATAATTGTTTGTATCCAAGTGGATTTAGGTGACTTAAAACACTCTCATCCAAAATTTATTGGGAAAATTATATGTTATGGTTCTGAATACAGAGGAATTTGATTTTCTGGGATGGATTTCAAAGTCAGGATTGTGAGAGTAAAGAGAAAAATAGCATTAGGAAGATAAGCAATAACTTAAGTTTCACACTTTTATCAGTGAGATAAAAATATATAATCATGTACACATTTATATTGATATATTTATATATATTTGTGAAATCTTAGAGAATGCTCAAATAAATGGTGTGACATTCTTTCAGTATGGCAGTCCTACAAAACCTCAACAAAGTTAATCCTTTTTTCCCCCATATTGTTATTTCCTGCTAGTTCTAAAATACATGATTCTGGGAATTATATCTGTGAAGCAGGAATCATGATGTGGACTGTTCCATTTGATGTTGTGATCAGTGCCAAAATGATTGTTAGTCATTAAGCCAGCTGATAATGGAAATCAGATCACATGTTTTTTGCTTTTCCATTTGAAATCATCTACATTAAGCCCTGTTGTTGTATTTTTCCATATGTGGCTCGTACTTGGAAAACCCAAAATGTTTGTAAATAGGCTCACCATACTTGGTGAAATACCTGTGATGAAGAATATCGCAGTTCATGATGACTATCTTCTAATAAAATATGAACATGAATAAAATGAAACTATAGTTCAGTTTTGATAGGTTGAACTGTTCACATATATTTCTGTATTCGACACCATAGGTTTTTGTGCATTGCAAGATAATTTATTGCTGGTCTTTTTTTGAAATTTGGCTTTAGATTTTATTTTTATTTGTTGAAAAATAATATATGCACATGGTAAAACAAATTTCAAACAGCTCAGAAGGGTGTACAACGAAAAATAGAATTCATTCACGTCAGCTGATTCAGAGGCAATCACTCTTAAAAATTTCTTTTCTCCTTCCTAGGATTTTCTTATTTTTATATATGTATGCATTTCTTTTTTTTTTTTTGGAGTTAGAGTCTCACTCTGTCACCCAGACTGGAGTGCAGTGGCATGCTCCTGGCCACTGCAGCCTCGACCTGCAGGACTCTGGCGATCCTTCCGCCTCAGCTTTCCAAGTAACTGAAACTACAGGCGTGCGCTACCACGCCCAGTTAATTTTTTGATTTATTGTAGAGATGAGGTCTCGCCAAGTTGCCCAGGCGGGTCTTGAACCCGTGGGTTCAGGCAGTCCACTCACCTCAACCTCCCAAAGCACGAGATTACAGACTGAGCCACCGAGCCCGGCTTGTATGCATTCTTAAAAAGGCAACTTACAAATAGAAATAGACTAAATACACTGTTAGGGCACCTGGCCCCCTCCCCCTCATCTAACTATAAAAATCTCTTGTAGGTCTTTTCATATAGATATAGGTAGATTTACCTCATTTTTTGTAAACCACTGAAGGTATTCTATTATATATACCCTAATTCATTTATTTAGTTTTTAAGTTGGAGTCGCACTCTTGCCCAACCTAGAGTGCAGTGGCATGCTCACTGTAGCCTCGACCTGCTGGGCTCAGTTGATCCTTCTGCCTCAGCCTTCCAAGTAGCTGGAACTACAGGCATGTGCCACCATGCCACGCTATTTTTTTTTTTTTTTTTGTAGAGATGAGGTCTTGCCATGTTGCTCAGGCTGGTCTCGAACCGCTTAATTCAGGCAATTCTCTCACCTCCGCCTCCCAAAGTGCTGGGATTACAGGCTTGAGTCACTGCGCCAAGCCTGATTTATTTATTTACCTCACGTTTCCTACTGATGAATACTTAAGTTGTTTGTAGTCTTTGGTTATTATAAGTGCTGCTATAGTGAAAATCTTATGTACAAGTATTTGTACAAATATGTAAATATGTCTATAGGATAAAGGGGATTTTGGATCAAGTGTATATATATTTAAATTTTGTTAGTTATTACAGATTTTTTGTCACAAAGGTTTACACCCCTCCAGTTATGTTTTCTGAAACTCATGACAATACCACTTATCGTTTTTAAATCTTTATCAATTTTTTTGTAGGAGGAAATAGTATCTATTTTATTAATGTGCATTCATTTAATCAACAGTAAGACTGAGTACCTTTACATTTGTCTGTAAACCACAAATATCCCTTTTCCTGTGAGCTACTTTCAGTATATTTCTACATATTTTGTATTCATTCATGAATTTTAAAAAATGAATATCAGTCAACGGCACTTCATTCTTTCAGTGTCTAGGCCAGAATCTGACATCATGTTTGACATGAAATCTGTTAGCAAGTCAAAATCTAACTGCTTCTCCTCACTCCACTGCTAATATTCTGGTCTAAACCACCTGGAATATTGCCCTAGATTCTGAATTAGTCAGGCACTGCCAGGAACAGGATGGCACACTTAGGTTGGGATGACTTGAGGAACTGTTTACAGAGGACTGTGCAGGATGTCAGAGAATTGGTGGTATATCAGCACTAGTTAAAATCTGACTTCTAAGCCTGGAGAGCAGAATTCAGTTTCAGAAGACAGAGGACTATGTGAGAGCCACGTAGTAGGAATCATGGCTTGTGTCAGAGGGCAGAAGCCAGTTAACAGTTGACTGGAAGGGAGGAACAGGGATTGAAACCCTAAACTCACTCTCCTTCCTCCTTTGAATTCTCTGGGTTACTTTGCTGTGCCTCATTAACAGAGGGCACATCCCCACATTCCCTGCCTGGGCTATTGCCTCTACTTGGAACATTCTTTCTTCAAATGTCCACTGGGTATCCCCTTCCCCACCAACTCTGAGAACTGTTCAGATACTTCATATTATCTTCTCAATGATTCCCTGAGCATCTTATTTAAATTTGTGGCTTGTCTTCTGCCAACTTGAACTTTGTGTTCTCTTCCTCTTTGTTCTTCCCTGTAGTTCTCACATTGCTATATAAATTATTTATTTATTTTTAGTGAATGTCTCTCAATTAGAATGTTTTTAATCTCTTTTGTTTACTACAGTAACCCCAGGGCCTAGAACAAGATCTGGTGCCTGACACAGGTTGGTACTCAATACATTGAGTAGTTGAATGAATGGATTATAAGAGATTTTTGCATAGTGAAGGAGTAACTCAAGTCTTTTAGTTATCATAGATGTATATAGAAGTATATCTTTTTGATCTATTCTCTTTTGTTCCTGATTACATTCTTGTAATCTTTTTGTATAAAATTCTAAGACTTCCATCATGAGAATATTTTCAAGCTAAAGTCTCCTGTTTTTTTACATTAGAATTTTTATCCAAATAGTGTTTATTTGAATTTAAGAGGACAGCATAGATTTCAATAATCTAGTCAAAACAATGTACAAGGGAGGACCCCCCCCAAAATCTGGAATTTATTTATAAAATTTGTGTATTCTTACAAGTTTAAACTAAAGTCACCTTCAAGGTGCTCTCTACTTGATGCAATTTACCTATCAACAGGCTTTTTCCACTGCTCAAAACAGTTTTTGAACTTATGAGTTTTGATGCCTTTTAGTGCTTCTGATATTTTTTGTTTCATCTCTTTTTCATTGACAAAATGTTTCCCATTGAGAACTTTTTTAATCTAAGGAAACAAAAAAGTTTCTCCAGGCAAGATTGGGTGAATAAGGAGAGTGGGACATGGGGATGATGTCATTTTTTTGTCAAAAACTGCTGAACACTCAGTGTGGGGTGGGCAGGTGCACTGGTAAATCATACTTCGTTAAATGGGCAAATGCATTAAAAGAATCTCCAAAAAAAAATTCATTGAAGCTGAACACAGCCTCTCACAACAATGCTAACTGGTACACTGAAGCTGATGGATTCCTAGAACACTTACTTAGCAGGGGAAGCCTGTACTATAATGCTCCCCCCACCAAAAAGATAATTCTGTCTTTTTTGGGGGTTCCCCCCTCATATATCTAGAAATAGCACCATTAATTAGACTGTACAGTTTTGGCTACAATTGGACTGTACTGTATAGACTGTACTGTATCAACGGGAAGAAATGCTTGTAACATATAACATCCTCCTAAACCTTTCTTATAGCTCTCTCCTAGGTTATGCTAGGCCCATTCTAGCCCAAACATATAAACACCTCTGCGTCACAGATGCCTTCTATCTTTTTTGGCATCTCAAGAGAGTTAGAGCTGAGTGGTTCTGTGTGGTTTCTTTTTCTTGTTTATTTTAGAGATGTGTCAGGATTAGGTACATAAGTGGCCATCATACAGGTGAAGTTTATGCCTCTCTTTGGTCCCCACTTCACCAAGGTTGTGATCAGTTACTCTTATTGATGTTATGTATGTGTGTTTTCTTGAGGCAAAATGCCTGGGGCTTGAATCCTGGTCCTGATCAGGTGTTGATTTTGCACAGATTGCTTCAGGTTACCCTCATCTCCCTGGTGCAGCATTCTCCTCAAACCTGTTGCATAGGTGTAGATTGAATACTTCTGGAATTTAATCATGTATGTATAAGTGAAGATATGATGTGCTTAGTACAGGGATGGGCATGTAAACATAAGCTATTTTATGTTGTTGCTCCTCCCTTCTGCAGTCTCAG